AAGATTAGGGCCTGGCCGACCCTGTGCCTAACAGGCGGCTACCCTTCTTTTACTTAGCACCTACGTTCACCAAGAACTTACCAAGGCCACCGGCCGAATGATCAGACCAGGCGCCAAGCCAACTGATCAAATCTACAAAACTAATACGACCTGTCCCAACATCATAGCAGGCGTCCGACGGCATCCCTCCGGATGAAATTCGTCGCAGAGAGCAGCTCCCTTTTGGGTGGAACATTGTTCTATAAACTAATTACACGGCACCTATACGACTGTCCCCAAGGGCAACCACGTAGCCGTTTTTGAGACAAGGATAACTCTATCACTAACCAAACCAGTGGTAGCAGTTGACATCTGAGTCAGATGACCGCCTGTATTACTTGGGATAAATGCAGGGGGTACCTATTGAGTTAATAGCCAACAAACATTGGCGAATCAAGGGGTCTAGCCGGCCTACGCCGCCTAGCACCTCTACTTCTCAAACAAAAGTGACGGCGACTGAGTAACTCCAACGTTAACTCATAGTCACTCCTTCAAATTTGGTATAAAACCTAAAAAGTTTGAGTCGTCCGCCTGTTTCAAACAAACAAGGGCACTCAAACCCCTATTCCTACTAGGTAACCTATTGAGTTAATAGCCAACAAACATTGGCGAATCAAGGGGTCTAGCCGGCCTACGCCGCCTGGTACCTCTACTACTCAATCTAGATTGTGACGAAAACTAAGTGACTCCTAGGTTAATAGTCACCCAAACTTAGTATGGAGCCTAAAAGGTATGAGTCGTCCACCTGTTTTTAATAAACAAGGGCTCTCAACCAATACTCTTGCTAGGTTAACAAATTACGAGTTAAAAGCCAACATTGGCAATAAAGGGAAACAACCGGCACCCGCCGCTTGTTATCCTACTTAATTCCTTGGCAACTAGGTAATACTATTTACTTGGTCAGACCAATTGAATAAATAGTTCGAATACCGATTGAATAAATGGCCGACTGATCATCTACCCTGGAAACAGACCACCAGTCGTCCAGGGGCATAGGCGGCATACTTACTATTTGTACCTGTCTTAACGTTCGGCCATACACAACAGTCGGTCTAGTGAACAAAGGGATATTAGATATGGAATACTTAGACAAATTTGAACCGAAACAAAAATTTGATTAAATAAGCCGGTCATTAAAGACCAGCAGAATATTCAAAACCCCGGCCCCCTGGCCGGGTAATTACAAAGCAAACGGCACGCAGGCCGTGGAAAAAATACTTAAAGCTTAAGAAGGGGGCAGTTCAGTATCAGCAGCTGCCGCCTGGTCAGCACTCTTCTTGCTGGACTCGGCTTTAGCTGCACCCTCTTTTGATGCCTTACCCCCAAGTGGCACAAGCGCCACAACCGGCTCTTCCTCCTCCAACGCACCGTCCAACGCCTCTTCTTCAGCAGCCGCCAGGATCTGTTGATTATATGTTTCCGAACACTGGCGGTACGTTCTTTCCCATGAGGCAAAGTCGGCACTGGGGAACAGTCGTTCCCAGGTCATGCGCTGGATTTGAGCGTAGTCTTCCACCATCTCCCGGACGAGCTCTTTCTTCTCTTGCTCGGCCTTTTCCGAGAGCTCTTGGGTAAGACTCTTCTCTTGGCTTACCAGGCGTTCTTTTACGTTGGCCAAAGACTTCTCCATGGCTTCATAAGAGTGCATTTTTTGGCGAAGAGGTTTCAGCTCGGCCTTAAGGTTTGTGACGGTCGCCTCCAGCTCGTCAACCTTCTTTTGGGCCGCCTCTAACTGAGCCCGAACAGCGGCGGTAGCTTGCGCCTGATAATAAAGAAGATCAATGGTCAGTACTTCATTTTGGGCAATTTGAAACATTGCCTTATCACAGCTGGAGGCGGCCATAGCTTTTGCGGCCTTTACCTCTTTGTTTTTCCGATCAATCGGCTTGCGAAGGCTGTTGACTCGGAGCAGGGCCTAAGTACAAAGAAAAACAGGCGTCAGCTTCCAAACAAAAAAGATAACAAGCGTCCTGGAACTCAAAAACTCAAAAATATGCTAAGTATACCTCAGCAAGGACCCCTGAAATCCCATCAAGGTCAAGGGTGCCGGCACCCCTGACCGCCTCCCTTTCAGATGGAGGAACTACTTTAACCATGGACTTGGCTACCTCAACCAAGTCAAGCCCCTGAGGGCCGGCTGCATTAAGCGAAAGGAAAAAACAAGTTAGACCTAGTCAAGAAGGAAGCAAGTGTGAAAGTTTTTACAAGTGATTGTCCATACTTCTAGGCGGCCCCACCGGGGTTTTAGAAGACGTGGCCGGCTGCTTCTCAGCCGCCACTGTTTTCCTGGAAGACCCAGGAGAGCTTGCAACAGTCGTCCTCCGGGCCTTGGGGTCCGGCTGTTGCGAGGAAGAAGCCCTTGGAGTGCCAGACTGAAAACAAAAAGAGTTAGTATATGCATAAGACAACTAAAAGAGGAAGAGTTTTCGAAGCTTACCAAGGGTGCCCCCTTGTTGGGGGAGTCGGCATAAGACTGTTTCATGAGCGAGGCCCGCAACATGGCCGCCGCAGTCTTGGATGCTGTTATTTTACTCATGGCGTCAGCTGCAAGAAATAAACAGCAAAGTTAGTAAAAATCCTAAGTAAACAAGGCGTGAAAAAACAGAGTATTTGTCAGGCCGGCTACCTCTAGAGCACCGACTGCTGAGGCCACAGGCGGCCAAAAAGTACTCGTCATAGAGCCACTTGAAGCTCGGGATGCAGTTTAGGGGTACTTGCTCTCGTACCCCTGACGTAGGGTTCACCCTAGTCTCTACTTTGAAGAGTCCTTTGTCTAGGATCTCTCTTTTAGCCTTTGGGGGAACAGGCGGCATGCTTCGGCCGCCTGCGAGAAGAGGCGGATCCCTATTCCACTTGTTAAAACGTTGGTTCAGCTCCGTGTCTGAACCCTCAATGATAAGGAAGGTGTTCCGCCAATCCTTCCATTTGTTCGCCTTACCTCTCGTCATGAGGTAACCCCTATGGCTTGTTAATTGATACCAGCCGGTACCTCCCGACTTAGGGGTCCGGCTGAGATAGTTCATGTGGGCGAAAGCCTCAAAGCTTGGCTCCACCCCGTACATTTCGCACCCGGCCACATAGCCGAGTACGTTTACCCATGAGTTGGGGGCTAACTGCCATAACCCCAGATCATACCCATCTAAAATCCGCTGAATAGCCGGATGTAATGGGAAGCGCAGTCCAGCTTTGATGGCCGCCACATAGCAGCCAAAGCAGCCGTCATCATAGCTGGTACCAGCCGGCCAGACGACAGTGTCTTCTAGATCCGGCACGAACAGTAAAAATTCCGGGCCCATTCTGTGGTTAGCAATGAAGCTCGCCACTTTGTCTTGCATGGTTGCGATCCGGCCCCGGGGTACCATGCAGTAGTAGGGGGCGTTCTCCTCTCTGTAAGAGGCGGACGGCTCCGCCCAATTGTCCCCCTTCTCAACTGCGTGAGAAAGTCTCGCCTCTTGTAGGCGGCTATGTTTTTCTTCTGAGCCTAGAGAACTGTGGCCAGAAGAGCTGGACTCGGACTCGTCCTCTGATGAGTCCGAAGAGGACGACTCCTCCCCTCTTCCAGAGGGGCCCGCCTCCTCTCCCTTAGAAGGAGCGGGAGGAAAATTAGACATGTCAACGGTAAGATGGGAAGGGACCACCTTGGCCCCTCTCTCAGAACTGTCGGCCTGGCAGCCGTCTCGTTTCAATTCTACATCTGGCGCCTGGTCAGATGTTTCACTAAGGAGCACCCTTTGGGAGGAGCCGTCTGAGTTTGATATCATAGCAGTCTGTTTTGTTCTGGCCATCACGTTCTGCATAGACACAGATACAGTCGGACTTTGTATAAAGGGCAAAGATGGGTCCAGAAAAGGGCAGGCGGCACTCCTAGTCCTAGATTCAGCCGTCCCCGGTGACCGGCTGATCACTAACTTAGGTCGTGTCGTGTGCTTCCGTGGTGCCATTTCAAAAAATAAAAAGAAAATTAAGAGTAAGAGAACTGAGTTACCTGAACGGGTGACGGTTGATGAAGTTCTGGAAGTCCGGTGCAATCGGCTTGTCAGAACAGGCGGTAGGCAGGAAAGGTCCGAAATGTCAGAGCAAGTTCAGGAGTCCGAATGTTCTCGCAAAGTTCTCAAATGTGAAAATGACCGAAGTCAGCACTTCCTTTTATAGGCAAAGTGAGAAGGCGAAGGGTCGCTTCCAAATTCAAAATTTGGGCGGGAAAATCTCTCGGCCGTTTGCAAGGTGACACCTGTAGCAGGCCGTCGCCTGTCACCGTGCGACACCTGTCACAGGCGACACGTGACCAGTCACGTGCCACCTGTGAGGGGCAAATGATTAGGGGATTTTTATCCACCAATCACCGTCTGACAAGTGGACCAACCAGGTTCCGCCACGTGTCCTTCACGAAGGCCAATAGGAGCCTGCCACGTGTCAGTCACAGATACGTCCTCTACGGACCAATCAAGGCACGCCACGTGTCCACCCATGCCAAATGGGAAAACCGGCCATCAAGGCCCAATCCAGTCTAGAGGCCCGGTCAGCCCTAGGTTTACCTTAAACCTAGAGAGTGGCACGCTTCTCAAGGCTATAAATACTTAATTAATCCTCATTAATTAAGAAGAATAGAAATCAAGCAGAGAAGAACAGAAATATTACGGAACACCAACAACCGGCTAATCTCGCTAACGACGCAGATTACCAACGCTAAGCACTCTCACCTAGAGAGATCTTATTACTTTAATTTCCGTATTAATTACTCCTTAATCAGGTACTAACTTGACCGTTGGAGGCGGAGCTCTCAGGAGTCTCCGTTATTTTGCAGGTACAGGCGTCCGGTTCCAGTCTCCGAATTGTAACTCTCCCGCAGGACATCAGAAAACCCCGAAACAGCATCCATAGTTATTTGGGAAATCCCAACAAGTGAGAAATTGTCTCTTCATTTGTTGAGTTCCTGCAACCTCTCTACACTTATTTTCAATTTACTTTCTAAGGAAAGCAATTCTTTTACCTAGGGCGTCCCTAGCTAAGAATCTCTCTCTCCATTCTTGATATTTTTCACTAATTTCTTCATTAAGAGGACTGGGTAATTTGTCATAGAACATTCCAAGATTTGTTTCATTTTCACCAATTTTATAATAATATGTTTCAAATTCCATAACATAATCATCAACATATTTCATATTACAGATGGACAAATTACTTAATTTTCTTTGATATTCCATTCGTTTCTCATTAGGATCGACTCTAGGACCAATGAATTCTAACTCAATGTATTGACACAACTGTCTGAACATTCTAGTAGGTGATTCACTAGCTCTTAATGCAGTTTTGACTTCTTCATCTATTCCATCATACCAGTCTTCTACACTGCCGTAGAGACTATGTTCAATATAATTTAATAAATTTTCTGAAATCCATTCAATATTTAAATTAAGTACACTACTCATGCTCTTCTTCCATTGATCTAAAACGTCTTGTCTATCTCTTACACCATTTAATTTAAGTTTATAACCAATTTGACTTATAGGTTCAAGAGTCACTTCTTCTTGTTTAGGTATATGAGTAGGCATAACCTTGACACTAAACCCGGGTAGTCTTACCTGGTATGTATCTTGGTCGTGTGCAACTTCCTTCTCCTTGGTACCTCGGTCTTTGGATAACATTGTTTACATTAATATTTTCATTAATAATTTCTTCTCCAATATCATTATTATCCATTACTCTTTTCCCTAGTTTGTTTTCAATCTTTTGTTGGACAACTTCTATAGGTAGAAAGTCTAGATCATTCAACTTCATTAATCCCATTTGTTAATATAAATCTTCCTCTAAAGTAACATAATTATTTTCCTCTATTACATTATTAGAAGCAATCCCTTTTTTAGAAATTAAGTTCATAATTTCGTTAAGTTTATTAGGGTCTTCTTCTTTATCGAACAAGACTTGTAATTCATTTAGCGTTTACTCCTGATGATGAGGGCTCATGTTTAGTTTCTTTATTCTTTTCTTGGTTACTAATAGGTCTTTTAGGTTGTGTTACAGTAAACTTTTTATTTTTATCTAGATTTTGAAAAGGATATTTATATTTATATGGGGCGATTTTCTCTTTATTAGGTGATACTTTTTTCCAAATTGATGTCTAACTTCGTTTGTTAAAGCAAGTTGAACTTGTTTAACCTTTTCGTTTAGATCGCTTACTTTTTATTAATATCGGTTGTGGTTATTGATATCTTATTTTCGATATTAATACAACGAGGATGTATGTTATCAACTTCCGATTTTAATTCGCCAATTTGATCTACTAAATAATTAAGAATTGGGCCAAAATTACTAGTACTTTCAGGAATATGATAATAATGCTTAAAATCAGGTTTTCTCACACTCAGTAGAGGGCCTAGTATTCTCCAGTTTTACTTAATTATTAACAACTCAGTTTAATTCTTAATCGTATGGCTCTGATACCAATCGAACGCAGCTTGATACCAACAAAGCTATAGTTAGGATACCAACTAAACGTGATTTGATACCAACAATATTATTTGTTAATTTATTATACCACCCGCAGCAATACTATGATGATACCAACGTGTACTAGGATGGTATTTCGATACTACTCAAGATGGTATCGGCTATATATCTCGTTGGTAGTTACAGATAAGCTATTTTTTTTAAATTACAAAAATGACCTTACTAGAGACCAACCTGGTCTCTACCTACTTGAGACAAAGAATTTCTGCTCGAAACGACCAGACCCGACCCAATCGAACCCATCCAGACACCATTGACTCCTCTACACTTAGGGGTTGTTTGTTTGACATAAAAAACATGGGAAGTGAGACTTCCTAGGAATTGCAATTTTAGTGTGTTGATTGGTTGACAATAATTTGGTGAAATGGGGGAAGTGGAACTTCCTAGGAATTTTGAGTTCCCACAAAATGTAGGAACTTACTTACCTAACCCCCCTAGGTAAGTGGAAATTCCCATGGAAATTATTTCCCTCATTGTTAACCAAACAATTTTATAAAATTCCCATGAATTTGATTGTAGGAATTTAATTCCAATTTATGGAAAGTTCTAATTCTCAAGTGAACCAAACAACACCTTAATGCCAAGATTGTTATTGTTCATCTCTAGACTCTCCGGTACAGTAAAAAGATATATTCACTCCAATGCTCCTAACAGCCAAAATCCAACCAAACTTTTAGGCACTTTATTTAACCATCAACCTTTTTTTCCCAGCAATACTCATTACATTACTAACATCCCACTTTTGTTCCTCCTCCATTACACTTCACTTTCTTCTTCTTCATTCCCACAAACATCACCACCAAAACTTCTCACTCACCCTCCTTAAAGAAATGTCCCACCACCATCTTCCACCATTCCCCATTTTCCTCACTCTCATTTTCTCTCTCCTGCCCCAACTGCCCGCCCTACCCGTCCTACCCAACCCTGACCCTGCTTCCATCCAACAACAACAAAAAACCTTCCTCCCTAACCCTTCTCCTTCGGAAACTATCCCTTCCTTCCCCGAACAATCTGCCGTTGCCGGTTGTCCGCTATCACTCAACGATGAGATCTTTCCGGCCGTTAAGGCCTCATGTAATAGCGGGCATTTGCGGCGGGGAAAATGCTGCCCCGTCCTCGCCGCCTGGCTTTACTCCGCTTACACCAATACAACTCTTGGAAAAGGAGCGGGGAATGGCGAGGCGACATCGACATACGATTTGCCAATGCTACCTGATGACTCGGAAACTTGTGTTGATGGACTTGAGAAAGTGATGAAAGATAAAGGGGTGAATTTGGTTAAGATTAATGAGACTTGTGATGTTGTATATTGTTATTGTGGAATTAGACTTCATCAATTGAGCTGTCCTCAAGCTTTTCACGTTTCTGAAGACGGGATATTAGCTGGTGATAAAAGAGTAATGAAATTGGAGAAGGATTGTTTGAGCTCTCATAAGTCTAAGGATAATGACCATTCTACCCTTGCTACCTGTTCTAAGTGCTTGCATTCGTTGTACTCGGTATTCTCTTCTACCCGCCTTCTGGTTTTGATTTATTGTTTGATTTGTTGCATCATTTTAATTAGTTTCATTTTTGGGTTTATACTTGCTAATTGTATGAAATTATTTAATGTTTTTGGAATTGTCAAATTATAATGTTATGTCCTTTCAACAAAAAAAAAATAACAATATAATGTTATGTTGACATCAATAGGTTATGATTTTCCGTGGAAAATAAATTTCAAGAAATTACGAAATTGTAGAAAGGAAAAAGAAATTAGAGAGGAAGAGAAGAATGTGAAAATATGGATTGACAATGTGACATTCCTTCTTTTCGCCCTTCAAAACCAATGTAGCCCAAATTTGTTAAACAAATGGAGTAGGAGTTAAATTTGATTTTGAATTCGGAATTTTACTTTGATCTTGCACCATTAGAATTTGGCGAAGTTGATGATGATTTAAAATGTCTTTTCAATTTGTCTTGGTCCTTTTTGTAAGTTAGTTTTTTTTTTTTTTTTTTTTTTTTTTTTTTTTTTTTTTTTGTGTGTGTGTGTGTTTCATTTTTTCCGCTGGATCAACTCAATAATGGATAAGGCTGAAGGTGACTCATGATATATATAGGGATAAGGATAACTATATGCTTGTTTTGGGTTTTATTTGATGTATTATTAGTTCAAATTACGCTATAATCTGGATTACATGGTTACTAAAGATGATCATTTTTCTTTATGTTCCTGATTTAGTGTGCTTGCCTGCTTGGATATGTAATTATGCAATCGTGGAATGCTTATCGATGACTCTCGTTGTGTTCAATCCTGCATATTACTTATGATCTATTTTTGATTTGGAATTTGATACCAAAATGTTTCCTGGGTGCTATGGTACGTTCATAATACAAAGGCTAATAAATGCTAATGTTGGTAGTCATTCATAATTAACTTATTGTGAAAACATCTTAGAACTAACACTTGTGGAATTGTAATATAGTGACAGTTACTTGTCAAATGATGATGTGAAATCAAACCAAGGAAGATATATAATGAAATGTTGTAGTCCCTACTATTTAATCACTAGTAAATTGGACTAATTGACTTAAGAGTTGATTGGAAATGGCTTCCTGATCACAAGTGTAATACTGTGTGTATAGTTTGTCTAGGTCGCTCTTACATTCTTAGGTTGCATTGGGCAGGAGCCTCTTCCGGGGTATATTGGATTAATGATTATGATGATATTGATGTTAATGTCGTAGCGTTTTATTCTAGATAATACGAAGTAAATTTGAGGTAATATATGTTGCGGCCTCTCCTTTTCTTGGTTGTTGAAGTTTCTTTTAAGTTTTCACGTGAAACTCTTGCTACTCTGCAAGTCAGACATTTATGATATTTAAATTATGATGTGAAGAAATGCTATGCTTCCCCTTCAAGATTACGTGACAAGAGAATGAACTTATTTATTATGATTTCATACACTTCTTACATATTTTTATAATTCTTCTTGTTTGAATTTGGTCTATATTTATTTTCTTACTAAAAGATTCTACTGATTTAAATATACAAATTATTTTATTTAGTTTAGCCTTACTTTATGAGTACTCTCACTTTTGTGATTGGTACTTTTTCACAGCAATCACAACTAATCATGTTCTAATTGTCCCTAAATAGTATAATAAAACTAGGCAAAGCACCTTAATCAGTCTTTGATGATTCTTGGACCGTTTCTTACCACGAGGCTTTTGAGGTTTGAGGCTTTGCCTTGTGTGGATAGATTATTCTCGTTTTTTATAATCCAGAATGAAGTTTCAGGCTCGTAATAACATCAAGATGCTGATTGTTTCAATTTAGATGTAAGCTAATTTTGCCTCCTTTTACACATTCAGCTTAAAAAAGGCAACAACGCAAGTGGAAATGGAACAAAACTAGACATAAGGACAAATAAGATGCGCAGCCGAGACTGCGAACTAATGGGGTTGACATGGCTTCTCCACAAAGACAGAGACACATACATGTCTGCGGTTACTTCAGTCATGCGAGCCCTAATGCTGAATGTCGAAGGTGCTGATCCGCAATCGTGTAGCATTAGCAGCAATGGTTTGCCCCTCGCTGTTGATTCTGCCGAAATTGATGGCCAGTCTTCATCTGTTTCCCTTCAATTCCCCCTCCATCTCTGCTTATTCATGTTCTTCTTGCTAATCATGAGCTCGAGTGTAATATCATATTTCTAGCTATTTTCTCTTTAATCCCAATTTTTTGTTCGTTATTGGTTGTTGTTAGTGTTCACAACTTTGTTTTAGTGAAATGTAATATTATCTTAGGCTTAATTTCTTCTTAATCTTTTTAACATTTACAAGTAACTTTGAGAAGTTAAAACATAAAAGGTATCCTATATTAAGGAAGAGTCAAGTACTTCAATTAGTGTGTTTAACGTTTAGTGAAACATATGGACCTCGAGTAACATGGTGTTGGGCCAATGGAGTTGACATCGACACTCGTGAACTGTATCTTGCTATAATTTGCGACATCTAGATATGCTCTGCTGATGTGGCGCGTAAGTAAATGACACGTGGCAGCTGCAAGGCCTGCGACTGAGTGATAATGTTTTTTGAGCTAAAAACAAGTATGTTTACTGTGAAGAACAAGCACTTGAACTCAGTTACAGAAAATGATAGGAAGCCAAACACCATGGTACTACAGAGCTAATAGCTCGGTTTTTATGGGTTTTGTTTGGCATCAATTTTTTTTTTTTTTTAATTTATTTTATTTAGTGCGTAGGACAAAGTTAACAAAAAAAACAAACCATGTTTGGCATCATTTTTTGAAATAGAGTTAATACTTGTATATTGAGTAGAAATAAAGGTAGTACCCAAAATTAATAAGGTGTTATAGTTGATTATGAATTATTATTATGTTTTGGTAGAATTTTATTATTATGTTTTGGTAGAATTTTATTATTATTTTATAAGGTGGGAATATTATTATTTTATAAAAGGTAGTATATTATTCTAGTTGTTATTCTGTTTGTTGGTAGAACTAGTTAATGTAACTAAAATGTTTGGTGTTTTAATTGATACTCCATCCGTTTTTAAATACTTGCTTCATTTTTCCATGTGCGGTATTTTAGGAGAAATTGGAGAAAGTAATAAAATATGGAGGTAGTGGGGTGAGGGGAAGAATAAAAAATTATAAAAAGCAAAAGTAGTAGAGATTATTGGAGGACATAGAATATAAAATTAATAAAATATGGATTATGTTGGGTCAAGGTGAGAAAAATAAATTAAATATTGTAAAAGAATTTCAAAAAGGAAAACGGAGCAATTATTTAAAAACGGCTAAAAAAGGAAAAAGGAGCAAATATTTAAAAACGAAGGGAGTACTAGTAGGGATGTCAATGGGGCGGGGCGGGGCGGATGTTGACCTTCCCATCCCCATCCCCACCTAACATTTTCATCCCCATCCCCATCCCCATCCCCGCGGCGGGTCTAATATTCATCCCCATCCCCGCCCCGGCGGGTACAACTCCAAAACCATCCCCGCCCCACCCCCCCACTTGGATTTCCATCCCCGCCTAATCCCCACCAAATACCCGCCTAATCCCCACTCAAGACCCACCAAATTTCCGTGTCTCAAATACACAATCCTACATAATTAATACGGATTATAATATTAAAAAAAAATTCTTAATATTACATACATTTTTGTTTATAATATAAGTGTAGTACAAATATTATAATTAATATTTACTTCACGTAATTATTTTATAAAATAATATAAAAGTATATAGATGTGGGTATGAGGTGGAGATGGGGCGGGTACGAAGTGGGGCGGGTGGGGCGGGGCGGGGATGGGGCGGGTACAACTTAAAATCCACCCCCGCCCCATCACCCATGGCGGGTATCGTTTTCATCCCCATCCCCGCCCCACCACCCGCCAAACCGAGACCCATCCCCGCCCCACTGGGGCGGGGATGGGGCGGGTCTCCTACTTGACCCGCCCCACTGACATCCCTAAGTACTAGTTATTGGCCCGAGTGATGACTAATCATTATAAATTCATGAAAAAATTGCTCAGAATAATCCCACCTTTGGAACGTCTGCGCAAAATAATCCCACATTTGGGATATTTTTAAATAATCTGAACTTTGTACTCAATTCGCTCAAAATGGTGCCAAGTGATCTGTAACCGGCTGAATAGGTATTTTTTTTAAAAAAATTAAGCCTAATCTACACATGTCACAATGTTATTGGTAAACAAAAAGCTTTTACTTTTATTTTTTACAGAAATAATTATTACTAATTAATTTTTTTTGAAAGATTATTACTAATTAGCATTAATTACCTTATTTAAAACTAACTTTCTTAAAATAATTAAAAATTTAAAACCACCACCACCCCCAACCCTAGCCCCAGCACCAGCCACCTCTCTGCCTCACCATCGACCCCGACCGATCGCCAACTTTCGTCGCACCCAGATCGCACCTCCCTCATGGTTGTTGTCGCCCCTCCCCTTTCCCATTTTGTCACCTCCTCTTATCGAAATTAAGTCTAGGAAGTGGTGGGGGTCAAAATCGAGGCATGTGAAGGGTAGTGAACGCCGAAATCTGGCTGAGGAGAAGGACAGAAGGCCAAAAAAAGGACAGGAAAAGGGGGCGAAAACGTGGCGGGGGAAGTGGGAGGTCGGGATTAGGAAGGGTTTCGAATTGAAGGTGTTTGGTGGTTCAGGGGGACAGGGTGGGGGCTGGAATCGGGACGAGATAGGGGTTTTCGAGGGGAGAAGGCTGGATCCGAACGAGAAAGGGGTTTTTCAGGGAGGGAGTCGATGCTGGTGCCAGCGCTGGTTGGGGCCTAGGTGGACAAAGCTGCGGATAGGGAATTAGGCTCAGGTGGCAGTGGCGTTGGCTTAGGCAGCTAGTGGGTGGTTTTTTTAATTTTTTTTTTTTAAAAAAATTTCTTTAAAAAAATTTAACTATTTAAAAAATTTATTTTTATTTAGAATTTATTTTTTTAAAATAACATCACAAATTTTACAAAAAAATGGATTATAACACCACGTAATCTCAAACTTTGATTATAACACCACAAAAAAATCCAAAAATTGGATTTCACCACCTTCTAAGGGAATTTTAGATGAAATCCGTTAGTGGGACCCAAGATAGACACGTGGCAATAAGACATTGGTTTAAAAAGAAAAGGTAAAAAAATAAAATAAAATAAAATAAAAACACCTTATAACCCTAACCCAGCCACTAGCCCACCACCGGCGGCCGCGACTCCACAGCCGGAGACTCCTTCTGACGCCGGCAACCCTTCCTTCACCGGCGAAATCACCGGCCATCATCCCACCCACCACAGCCCCCCTCCCCCCGCGCAAATCCCACCAATCCGTGTAAACCCTTACCACTAACCACCGAAAACCACCCATGTCGTCGCCTCACCGCAAAATCGACCCAACTGGGGCTTTGAAAGTTGTTTTCGACCGATTTGAAGGTGAAGCGGAAGTACAGGGGTGATTTTTCGGGGAGGAAGCGAAGTGGCTGGGAGGTTTCGACTGGGTTGGATTTGGTTTCAGCTGACGGTGGTTCGACGACGGTGTGGGCTAGGGTTTCGGCTAGTTTTGGTTGGGGTTTCGATGGTGTGGCGACGGTTTCGGAGGTTTTGGGGCAGGGTATGGTGACGACGGTGGTTCAGCGACGGTCTCGGAGCTTCGGGGGTTGGGTTTGGGTGACGGTGGTGGGAACCCACCGGCGTTGGTGACTGGTTTAGCATTTTAGGATTTTTCTTTTTTTTTTTTAAATAAAAAAAATTTAATTTTTGTTAATCCAATAGATGAGTGACATGTGTCCAAAGTGAGCCCCACTAACGGATTCCATCCAAGAGCCCGTTAGTAGGTGATGGAATCCGTAAATAGGTGGTGAAATCAATTTTTTTGATTTTTATGTGGTGTTATAATACAAATTTGAGAAAAGATGGTGTTATAATCCATTTTTTTTTTCAAATATGTGGTGTTATTTTCAAATAAATCCTTTTATTTATTTTACCAATCACAGACCGCAACGTGTAATGATAACAAGTTACACGACCGGTTGTGATCATTTTGAGCGGATTGGGTGTAAAGGTCAAATTATTGAAAAATATCCCAAAGGTGGGATTAATTTTCGCAGACGCCCCAAAGATGAGATTATTCACATTAATTTTTCCTATATTCATAATTTTGATGAAATTTTATGTAGAAGACTAATGTTCAACTATGTTGATAAGCGAATGAGTTATAATATTTTTTTTTTAAAAAAAAAACATTGCAATTATGATTATATGACGCGGGATAAACCTAGGTCATTGATTTCGGATAAGTCTATTTTATATATATATTTTTATTCCCCATCCCACGGTCATATTTGTGCTTATTTGAGCTCTACGGAACTATTTTTATTACTAATATATGTTTTCTAGTGTTTTTGTAGAGTTGATATTATTTTGTAGGAATTTACATATTTATGTCAATTTCCTAGCTGATTGAGCCACTACAAAGATATTAGAGTCGAATCGTATTTTATGACCATATAATTAAAGTCCAAGGTCGAGTTAGAGAAATTTAATCCGGCAATTAAGGTCTTGATACGAGAGAAAGTCCAAAATTTTACAAGTTACACGACGGACCAAACAAGTGAATGAATTTGGGCTAATGAACTCTAAAAGACCAAGTCCAAGAACAAAAGAGAATGGAACATTGAAGCCCAACTGCTGCTGACCGTACTCGATCAGGCGAGGCCTGGCCCGAATCATGTGATTTGAAAGTCGGCTGGGCTTTGTTAATTAAAGCCCAATCCCTTAATTGATGGGCATGAATTATCGGGCTCAAAGAAATGGTGAACAGCTGCATTTGGAGTTCTACTAAGAGTGGGATTTGTGGGTTTCTTTCCTATATATTACGAAGTAGTACGTAGGCTTGGGTTTAGGCAAGTTTTTCTTAGTTTTAGTTTTTAGATTAATTTAGTTTCTTTTAGTTTTTCTTTCTATCTCTACTCTCTATCAATTTTATTATTTTGTTTTCTTGTTACTTTAATACTACTACTCTCTTTCTCTTAATTCTTGCTCTTTGTCATGCTTTCTTTAATTACTTTGATTAGTTTAGTTTTAATTATGTTTGAGTAGTCTTCTTTCTAGGGTTTGTTGGGATCCATAAATAATATGAAAGGGTAATTTATTGTTGTTGATTATCAATGCTAGATTAATTTCCTTTTGATTGATTTAATGCTCTGTGACTAGATTTGCGCAGATCTTTTATGCATGAGTTTGACAATATTGATTCGAGATTCGACAGATGA